TACTTTGAAGGCATAAGTTATTCTTCTAACATTTCATAGAAATCCAGTAATTTCTAGATTGCCTCAAATATTATATTGTTGCTGCATAAATTTACTGAATTTCGAGTGAATTTTTCGCCTCCAAAGCATCATGTATTTTCCGGTTGGTTGGTCTGGTCTAATCCTCCGTACTTTCTTTGTACAAAAAGCTGTCAAAATCTTTCAAAAAAATAATTTGCAGGTGTAAATCCATAAGGCATTTGGAAGTATAAAATTGATGGTTTCACAAAAGGATAAAACACATTCGAAGTAAAATTGATGAGACAAACAAGGATGGACCATTAGTTGCCCATAAATTTCCAAAAGAAGTCATGTGCTGCCACCAAACTAAACAAGGTAAATCTACAAATTGGCAGCATCTAGACGTATTATTGGCCTGCAGCTTTTAACCGCTAAGCTGACTCCCATACAAACAAGCAAGTTTCATGGAACCCTATCCTCCCCCACCCGCAGCCCACAGGCGCCAGCAGACGTAATTTAGCTCAACAATTTCCAGATGGAAAAAGTCTAAAACTAATTTTTTTTTCGCTCTCTCTAAATAAAAATTAATAACAGACTATGACGTAACCAATTCTTCTTGACTACACTAAAGAATTTCACTTTTACTCGATATGGGAAGTGACATATGTTGCTGGATGGATTATTATATAATGACAGTTTTTATGAATTAATTATTCTACACTTCTTACTTGGTCTAGCTTCTTATACGAAAGTCGTGAGTGTTAACTTAATTTTCATTTGAGTATGTGGCCATAGCTTATTATTGCGTATTCAACTTCTGTTGCAGTTACTATTGTTGTTTTTTTAATCGACCAAATTGTTTATGAAAGTTTATTAAATAATATAATTCTAGAAATCTCTGATACTTTCGATTTGATTATTGTATTTCAGACTGAGCACAACATTTTTATGTATCCATTTCACGTGTTAGGTGTAACTGATGTGTTTGGAAATTCCCTATTTAGTGCTACAATCAAAGTTATTATCCTAAGAATTAAAGAGTAAAGACTATATATCACGAGATCAATTCTTATTATCTTCCTACTTCATGAGTTTGAAACTTATGGTAGTTTTTTGCAAGCTGAATGAAATGCTTTATTACGTGACAAAGCAGTAATAATGTTATATTAACAAAATACAAGTATACTTTTAGGATATTTATGGAATAAACAAAATTTAATCAACCCCATGAATCAAATCAAATGCATGAAATCCATGGAAGAGGTCTAAGCCTAAGCAAGCATCGAAATCCAAGCACCATCAAGAATGTCCAAGCACATGGAAAGACAAACTGTAACCATGGCAGAGGACTTGGCATTGACATATCTCACTGTTTCAATTCCAGCTTCAGCTACAGTCTCATGAACAAGCTTCAAAATCCTCCTTATCCCATCACAGATTCTTTCCAGCAAAAACTCAAGAAAAGATCTCACTGTTTCAAATGTTATCTCCCCTGCCAAATCAAGCAAAACTCTCCTGTTTTTTGGCAATGCTAAAGCAGAAGATAGTTTCCCAACCAAAGATCTTTTTTTAACTAAGTGGTTTGCTTTCAGTTCAGGCAAGACCAGTAGCTCATCTTTGTCTGCAACTGGTCCTCCATCCATGGAGCTTGTTATTTCTTGATGAGATGTCTTTACAAGTGTCTCAATTGCTCCATTGCAGACTGTTACCATCATGTCTCGCACTTTCCTTTCGTGCTTTGGATTCGTCATGCCGGCGAAGAATTCGTCGTAGGTGTTGATGTGCATAGTCTTGTCAAGGTAAACAGCAACTGCTGTGCTCACAAACATCTGAATGCACTCAACAATCAGTTTTCTACACTGATTGCTCGAAACCAAATTGACCCATCTTTCAGCAGAATCCAAGTTTAACCCAACTGAATTGGTTGAATTTGAGTCTGATCCATCTAAATAAAATGCCATGACCAAGTTCCTGGCAAAGCTACCAACAACAACAGAAGCAAAACCAGACCCAGCTTTTGTAAAAAGCTTATCTATGGCTTGATCCAAAAAGCTAGAATCTGCTTTTATACTGTCATTTTTTCTTAATTCTGATCGATAGCCACGCAAAAGCCCAAAGGTTAAAGCTTGGGTAAACCTTGTTAACGAGATGGAGAACTCGTCTGAGTTTGTAACCTTTGAAATTTGTGTCAGACTGTTTGGAATTTGATCGGATTCTGATCGTAAAAAATCTTTCAGATCTCTGGAGACGATGCTGATTGCCCCCGCTGATTCCGAGACTGCTTCTGCTAACGAAATCATAGCTTCGAACAGCTTAGAAATTCTTCTCCTCTTTTGAGCCACTTCGGGTGAGTAGTAAACATTATAGACGCCATAACTGGTGAACCCAAAAGCAGTCAAGAGAAGAACCCACTTCTTGTTTTTCCGGGCAAAACTCAAACCTTTCTTAACCAATTGCAGGTCCATATAATACAACGCCAAATATTTGCTTGGGAACTGGGAAGACAGAATAGATTAAGAAAATTTCTGGGCTTTTCAAAGAAGGGGAAACGAGTAACTTCTCCTCAGCAAAACCCTTTGTAGCTCAGTGATAGTGGTAAGCAAAGACCTGCTTTTTATCGAGTGTGTCTTCCATGAAAGCAAGAAAGCTTTACTGGGTCCGGAATCATGGAAGAAGAGACACAACAGAGATCACCAGGGAAAGAGTAAGAGGAAGAAGAAGTAAAGAAATCTGAAAGAGGGAAGAGGAAGGAAATGACGTCGAAGCTGTTGGCAGAGAAGAAAGAGGCGTCTCGTGCAGGAAATGAAAATGTTAAATTTCAAAATAAATGTATTATATAAATTCCATAACTCTTTTGTATTATCCATATCATCTTTTTATTTGTTCAGAGGATATAATTTGACGATGATGATGATGATGATGATGATCAGTTTAGTCTTGTTCAAGGTTGAACCGCCACGATAAAATTAATTTAATGGCTTAAAATAGAAAAGCTGAAACTGAAACATAAAGGGGTTGTGGGGCAGGTGGAGATGTAATTTTATGGGCCTAAAAGCACAAATTGTGTGCAGCTTAAGAAAATGTATAATAAGTTTGTCGTCTCCAAGATTGAAGGGATTCTTAACTTCCATTTCTGACCTAAACATATTTTTTACTTTTTATTTTCTAAATCTATATATATATATATATATGTATATACATAACTTTATTGATGAATAATCCAAAATTTATATATTTGTATAATAATTAAGCACAAACAAATTGTTTTTTTTTTAAAAAAAATTATTTTCATAATCCTTTATTATTAAATAATTTGTATGTTTTTTTTAAATAAAATACGAATATATCTAAATTAAATACAATCATAGTTGAAGACTATATTTGGATTAACATATCTGTTAATTTTTATGAAATTTATTAAATAATTTATACTATGTTTAACAAAAAAAAAAGAATTTTGTTCAAAGTAATAATTCCTAACACAAAATCATATTATAATTAATTTATATATATATATACAGAATATATTAATTAAATCTAAAAATTAATTAAAGATAGATTAAACCAAACAATACTTAATTTCATAAGAATGGTATAGAAAAAAATAAATGTTTAATAGCTTTTAAAATTTAAAGTCTATTTCTTATACATTCAATAAATATTAAGAAAAAAATAATAATATTATAAAAACGATGCGTTTTGAGAAGCTTCAGAGGGGACAGACTTAAATACACGCACATTCACAAGCTTATCTAATTACTTTATTTTTGACCACGAAATCAGTGTAATGATAAATCCAGAAGAAACCTTCGTGGATTTTCAACATGACACGTGGCGTTAATCTGATAGAGACCATGACGGAATGGCCACGTATCAGACAAGAAGTACACGTGGCCAAACTCTCAGCCGCGTTCCAAAGTTCTGGTCATGAAACCTAGCCTTTCCGGATCAGGTCGTGATTCTAAGTAGCAGTGGCAGAGTGGAAAGGAAACTGCGATTCCAATTATTATTTTATTAACTAATAACTATGATATAATCATTATATATATGCAAATTTTCCTTTAATAAATACCAGAAAATAATTTAAAATTTGAAAAAGAAAATTAAAAGGTGCAATTGGGTTCGGTTTCCAAGTTTGGGGAAGAGTCGTATCGTATTTGTTATATATATATATATATATATATATAACGTCCATATAGGGAGTGGATTCTCCCACAAAACCCAGTACCCAGTGTTAGGTTGCCACGCACTCGACGCCATAGCCAGCCTCTGATCAGCTTTCTGTTCTGCGTCGTCGTCGTCTTCTTCATCAGCTGTTTCTCCTCTATTTCTAATTCTAATAAGGTAACTTTCGTTGTTTTCTTTTTTCTTTTTCTTCAATTTTTTGAACTTAATTTTACTCGATTGAGTGCCGTTTTGTTCTAAGTATATCGTTCTTTGTCGTTCAAGGAAGAAATAATCATCAAATCGATCAAAAATCCTTTTTCGTGTTTTTCTTCTGAAGCTAATATTCATCGATCACTTCTTAATTAATATTCATATATTTTTTATTTGATTTGATTTGTTTCCTTTTCTTTTTCTTTCTGACAAATATTCAACGTTAGAGATATTGAATTTATAAAGAATTGTCAACGATATATATCTGGAATATGGGTGTATTAGGTTTTTGTCTAACTTATGAAACACACTACAGCAACGCCGCTTCCTTATCTCCTCCATATACATTTGCTATATATAAATATATAATTTTAATTAATGTAATAGCAGCTATATAAATGTGGAAGGTGGTGTTGATCATAAGGGGTCTCCATTGAGCTAGAACAAAAAGGAACTAATTAGGAAAAAAGAAAAGATGGAGGTTTCAGCATACCAGCCGTATTTCGATCCTGAGTTTGAATCACTCCTCGAAAGAATTCACCCACCCAGGTAACTCGATTCTATTTTCTTTTTATTTTTTAAGGTTTATAATTGATCGTCATTTAATTTTACATGAAATTATCAATGCTGTTTGCATGGCTTAAATAGGTTTTTTGATTGGTTCTGGTGATGCTGCAGAGTTTGTATTGATAATGATGCATGCCCGGACGCCACACTTGTTAAGGTTAGGTCTCTTTATTTATTGTCTGCAAGTCTCTAATATATACATATACATAATGTATATGCACATATCACTTTTTATTAATCTCAATTCTCCATATCCGTAAAAAAAATAAAAATAAAACTGTTTTTGGGTCATGGGTCGAGACCAACCAGACTGACGTACGTAATCAGGCTAGCAAGTTGCAGAACGCAGATATTTTTAGTGGAAATCGATATGGCTGATGCCGGAGGTTAATTAAACAAGTAGAAGATAACTTAGTAGGAATTTCAATTCACGTGAAAATACTTTAGTTACCAGTACAGTTTTTTCAAATGAAAATTATCAATCCCCCAAAAAAATGAGGTTTGAAACGGTGATTATCATGATTATAATACCAGGCTGCTTTTGAAATTTTGCATTAATGACAGGTTGACAGTGCAAACAGGCATGGAATTTTGCTAGAGATGGTTCAGGTGTTAACAGATCTTGATCTTGTTATATCCAAATCATACATTTCTTCTGATGGCGGATGGTTCATGGATGGTCAGTTCATTTATTATCTTCTCCAATATATCTATATATATGTGAATATATATATTTATATTTATGAAAATTCATATTTGCTCGCGGTGGCTAAAATTCATGTGGGTTTGTTTCGATTCTAGTGTTCCACGTAACTGATCATCTCGGGAGTAAGCTTACTGACAAAAGCCTCCTCCTTTACATTCAGCAGGTAACCCATCTCAGCTTCTTTGTATATACGTATACCTATATAATTTACATCGTATATTGAGGATATATATCTCGATGTTTGTACAGTGTCTGTGTGCAACGAGAAGAGGAGGGATTTCGAAGGACATACCAAAAGGCCTCAGGAAGGAGGTGAGGTCAAGATGCATGTCGACGGAGAACACGGCATTAGAGTTGACCGGTTCGAACAGACCCGGTTTGTTGTCGGAGATATCGGCAACGATCTCCGGTTTAGGATACCACATCACAGCAGCTGTGGCATGGACTCACAACAGCCAAGCCGCATGCATAATCTACATAGAAAATGGGTTAAATGGCGGACCCATTACAGACTCGAAATGCTTAGCCCATCTGAATGAGCATTTAGAACATCTTGTCGAGTCCCATCACGGGAAGGAGGAGAGGAGGAGCGTCGGGTTGGCCCTGCCCGCCGCTGACCGGACTCAGACAGAACGGAGGTTGCATCAATTAATGTACGCCAACAGGGATTACGAGCAGTGTCAGAACTGCGGCGATGGCGGGTACGG